ACTCATATACATAAAATAAATTTGGGGGGCGGGGAAAGGGAGAAAAAGAAAGTGAGGTCAGACACCAGGCAGATAAAAGCTTGAGGCCAAGTGTCGGAAGAAGACCAAGGCTCTAGGTTTCAGCCAGGTCCCTGAGGTCAAGGGCATCCCAGTCTTAGGCGTGCATGATCAAGGGGTGAAATTCTGGGTTTTCAACTGCCGGAGTGATGGCAGGAGGCATGTTTGAGCTGAGTGAATCAGCTCACTGTGGGGGAATGGTTGGTAAAAGGGAGAGGTGCTGGCCAGCCTATAGGCACAGGTTACCCAGGCTTGGTTACCAGGGAACTTCATTCTGGGCTCTTCCACCAGCTCATTATGATCCCAATCACCTGCCCCATTATGACTCAGTCCTCCTCCCCTCCCCCACTAGGGGAGTCTGCCTCCCAGTATGTGGGGGCTACGGGGCCTAGGTAATCCTGGGACCCCCTGTCATGGGTGAACAAGTCTACCATGGAGCCCAAGCATGCTCTGGCACCAACCTCAGGAAATGCCAGGATTTAGGAGATTCAATTCTTCTGATTCTGGGCAGCTTCATCTTGCTCAACGTGGGAATCAATGTGGTGACTCTGGTCAGGGCAGGGTCTAGGCAGCAGGGCGGCGGGGGCTCTGGGCTTTGGTTGTTTGTTTGGAGACAAAGTCTCACTATGTGGCCCTGTTTGAATCCCAAACTTAAGATCTTCCAGCCTAGGTCTCCTGAGTTCTGTAATTATAGGCATGTGCTACCATGCTTGTAGCCTGAGAGCCGGGTTGTTCCAGGGGCTGATGTGGGTGGGCCGCTGGGATATGGCCAGAGGAATGTCGGCCTTCAGGGCTCACTGCACTTCTGGGCTCTCCTTCCTCTGCTTCCCTCAGCTCTGGAAGCATCTGAAGAACTCACTGCGGATTCTATTCCATCACTTTTTCCCCAAAGGTGAGTGGGCTCCTACAGGGTCTCCTGGAGATGTGGCTTGTCCCCTTTGTCACTGTCCCAATGCCCACCTGGGCACCCTGTCCTTTCCCGTCCTCCTCTCTCTGCAGACAAGCAACCTGCTGATCTAAACGGCCGACCCATGTGCACGCGTTGCACTGCAGACCCCAAGAACCTGTACTCAAGGATTTCTTCCCGATTTCCCCGCCGCCCCAGTTTCCTGCTTGGGCATACCAATCACTTTGACTCTTGGGTACCAGACACAAACGACGAGAACATTTCTAGGTGCTGCTGGATGCCACCCCAGTGCAGACATGGCAGAGCTCCCACGGAAGCTCCATGGGAACTGTGGAAAGAAGGACCGATGGGAACTGGGGAAGCCCCTCAGGCCACAGTCATGAAGATCCAGGATCCTTTATTTTCCAGGCCAGAGATTTCTCCCCAGATTCCAAAAATACACAAGCTGAACATGGTTCCACCTTCTTCACCCCAAGAGAACAAGACTAAAGCACCAGATGACAGTCCACCCCATGCTCAAGCCCAGGCTCTAACCTATTCTTCGACCAATACCCATGAGCTCCCCTCCGCTCCGTCCCAGACTCAGACCTCAGAACCCACTCAACTCAGGGCACAGGGTCTTGAGCACACCTCAGCCTATACCCCACCAACCCACGCACCTGACTTTGTCTCAGCTCCTACCCCAGCCCCCGGTGAAGCCCCAATACCAGCCAATGCTTCACCCCCAACCCCATCCCATAACCCAGCCCCCACCCCATCCTATCCCCCAGCCCAGGCCCCAACCCATAATCAAGCCCATATCTTGGATCAGGCCCCGCCCCGTATCACACTCCAGGTACCAGCCCCAACCCAAGCTCAGGGTTTAGCCCACAGCCCCGAGCAACCCTCAGCCCATACATTACCTCAGTCCCCAACCCAGGCTCGTGCACATGCTGCCTTCCAGTCCCCAGGCCGTGACCCAGTCCAAATCCTAGTACACACCTTGACACACCCCCAAGCTAATGTCCCCGAGCAAACAACATCTCAAGCCTCCACACATGCCCCACCCCATTCCCTCCTTCATTTGTACGACCGCATCCCAGGGCCTAGGCCGACCCCTGCCCCAGCCCCTGTCCCAGCCCGCTCCCCAGCCCCTGCCCTAGCACTGTCCATGACCGTGACAACTACTCAAGCCTCTGCTCATGTCCCTGTCACCACCTCTCACCCTACCCTACCTCCCGTTCCTTCCATGCTGGCTACCTTTGACCCCAGCTTCTCCACCGGCCACATGGTCTATGATGCCCTCAGAGTAAAGCAGAACGCCGAGAACTTGAGGTGTTTCAGGAAGGACTTGAACACCCTCTCCAGGCCCCAAGAGGTGAAGGGCCTGGTAAATTCCGGTCCTGCCGAAGAGACACAAAAGCAGCATGGTGGGGGCCGTGCTGAGCCTCCTGCCGGGCCTATACTTGGTTACCTGAAGTTGGGGACCATGGACGGGAAGACCTCGGACAATGCCGAAGAGAAGTTCCCCCAGCCCAGGACCTCCCTTGACTGCGGCTTCCATCCTTGCTGCTCTGAGAGCAAAATCGAAGACTCACAGGCTCCGGTCTACCCCAAGTTCCTGGTCTACACCCAGAACGCCACTCCCTCTAAGCCTTGTTTGCATACTCCAAGTGCTGCTCAGAGCACACTGCCCAGCACCCCACCTCCGTGCACTCTCGCTCTGCCGCTAGTTTCTCCCAGGACGTTTGTTGTTCCTCAGAAGCACTCCAATTTACCACAAACTCCCACCTTTCTCTCAACCTCCAAGTCTCCTCAGACTGTCTCTTCCCCTCATTTCTCTGTCGCTTCTCAGTTCTCCACCATTTCTCAAACCTTAATCCAACCCCCAAACCCTGAGAATCAAAACCTTAACCAAGGCTTTGGCCTTCAAAAGACCCCATCCCTTGCCAAGGAATCTAGAGTTCCCAGGAACCCAGGCCTTACCCAAGTTCCAGGCCTCCAGAAGAACCCAAGCCTTGTCCCAAATCCAGGCCTCCAGAGGAACCCAAGCCTTGTCCCAAATCCAGGCCTCCAGAAGAACCCAGGCCTTACTCCAAATCCAGGCCTCCAGAAGAACCCAGGCCTTACCCAAGATCCAGGACTCCAGAAGAACCCAGGCCTTACCCAAGATCCAGGACTCCAGAAGAGCCCAAGTCTTGCCCCAAATCCAGGACTCCAGAAAAACCCAGACCTTACCCCAAATCCAGGACTCCAGAAGAATCCAGGCCTTACCCAAGATCCAAGACTCCAGAAGAACCCAAGCCTTACCCAAGACCCAGGCTTTACCCTGAATCCATGCCTCCACAAGAACTCAGGTTTCTACAAGTTTCCAGGCTATACTCAAGATCCTTACCTCTGCATGAATCCAAACATTTCCCAAGACCCTTGCCTTCAAAAGAATCTAGGTACCACTCCAGATTCTGGCCTGAGGAGTTCAGTTGCCATCCAAGATGCCGGTGCCCTTAGGAACTTAGGTGTCATCCAACCTTCCAACCTCCACAAGAATATAATATTCAATCAAACATCTGGTCAGAGGACGTTGAGCTTTATGCAAGACTCTGTGGTCTACAGGAATGGTGCATTAACCCAAGACACTGTAATCAACAAAAATAAAGGTCTCTCCCCAGTAGGGGACCAAAAGTGGCTAGACTCCTCTCACAATTCTGGAGGTAACAATGTTTCAGGAAATGTACAACATCCAGGAATCTGCAGGAATGTAGGCCTTACCCAAGACTCGAGACCACAGAAGAACCCGTGCCATACCCAAGACTCTGAAATTAACAAAAACTCAGGACTTATCCAGGAGTCTAGTTCCCCCAAGAGCCCAGGCCATGTCCAAATCTCTTACCTTCACAAGAGCTCAGGTTTCACACAGGACTCAGGAGACTACAAGAATTTAGGCCTTACTCAAAATCCTGGAATCTACCGAGTCCCAGATCTAAACCAAGACACCAACTCCAACAAGAATCCCTGCCCAATCAATGTCACCACAGCAGAAAGATTGGACCTAAACCAAGATGTTGGCATTTACAGTTCAGAACATGGCCGAGACCCTAACCTTCAGGAGTGCCCAGCAATTAATCAAGATTCTAGCAATCACCAGAACCCGGCACTTGGCCAAGGCTCTGGCTTCAAGACTCCAGGCCTTACCCAGCAGGTTGGCCCTTGTAAGGACTCGGGCCTTACCCCAGAGTCTGGCCTCAACAAAAAAACAACCTTTGCTCCAGGTACTGGTTCTGCCCAAGTCTTGGGCCCACTTCAGATACTAAAGCTGGCATCTTCCCCAGTGAAATCCCTTGTATGTAAAATGAATCCTCAGAAGGACAATACAGAGCAGCAGGTGTCCTGGACTTCTGTCTCAGTCAACCAAGGCCCCTGCCCTTCCAAGGCCCAAGTGCTCTCCCCTGACCTGAAAACTTTGTCAGAGGTCCCTGTCCTAATTGAGCTGCAGCCACCCTCCCGGCGGCTAGACAGCCAGGACTGGGTGTACCACGCTGTAGATCCCGTCCCGTCAGCCTGCCAGAAGTACCGCCAGATGTCTATGCCTCCCAAAATCAACTGGAAGCCCCACTGCCCTGGACCAGGCACCCGGACAGGTCATGTGGTCTTTGATTCCCGCCAGAAACAGTTGGCAACTGGCAGGGACAAGTGTGAGGCTCTGTCTCCCAGGCGCTCTCGCCAAGAAGCACTTAAAAACTCGGAGGAGACCCAGAAGGAATGGGGATATCAAAATGTGATGAGGACCTTGAACAAAGAGGGGGCAACTATGCATCAGGAATAAAGAGGCAAGAGAATCATTCTGTGGTTGGTTGAGGCGCTTCATCCCAGCGCTACCACTTGTATTGACCATCCTCATCTTAAAGAGACATGGAATTAACACGTCCCTATTCTTTCTCCACAGCTCCATAGTCAAGCCCATTCTCTTCCAGGCTCAAGAGCTGTGTTTTAGGGAAAAAAAGATAGTAGCCACTATCCAAATGTGACTCATAGGATGTCAATTAAAACTGAAAATTCTCACCAAGCATTGTGTTGCACATCTCTAAAAGCCAGCACTTGGCAGGTGGAGGGAGGAGGATCAGGAGTTCAAAGTCATCCTCAGCTACATAATGAGTTCAAGATCAGCATCCTTGGGACCCTGTATCAAAAAAAAAAAAAAGATTCTGAGGGGCCTGGAGAGATGGCTCATCTGTTAGGAGCACATATTGCTCTTCTAGAGGACTCAGGTTCAATTCCCAGCACTCATCTGGTGGGTGAGTAGTAGTTTGTAACTCCAGGTCCAGGGACTCAATGCCATCTCATCTTTTGGTGTCTGTGGGCACTGCACACATGGTACACAAACATATATGCAGGCAATTACCCACACACAAAAACAAATTTAAGGTGGGCGTAGCAGTGAACGCCTTTAATCCCAGCACTCAGGAGGCAGAGGCAGGGATTGAACTCTGTGGGTTCAAGACCAGCCTGGTCTATATAAGCTCTTAGGATAGGGCTGCATAGACCTGGTCTCAAAAAAGAAAAAAGAAACTCTGAGCTGCGTAGAGTAGTGCACACCTGTAAGATCAGAATGTAGAAGGCTGAGGCAAGGTGATTTCCATTCTGAGTCCAGACAGAGCCATAGCAAAGGCCTGTCTCAGAAGACAGAACCATTTGAAATTCTGTTCTTCAGTCGCTACGTTTTTGAGTTCTGACACCCATGTGTAGCCAGACAGCAAAGACTCGGGACATTTTTGCCATAGAAAAAAAAATTGAGACAGGCTTTTGCTATGTAGCCCAGGCTAGCTATTAACTCATTCTGCAGCCTATGCTGGCCTCGAATTTGCGAACCTGCAGCCTTAGCATCATGAGATTATAGGGATACACCAACACTTCGCCTGGCTTTTTTACAGGAGCAGAAGGAAGTTGGTTCTGTCTCTGTCTCTGTCTCACACACACACTGTAGCTCAGGTTATCCTGATGCTCACTGTGTTATGTAACTTGTCTTTTGACAAGGATACCTGGGAGACAGAGCCTCACACTTTCCCTGCCAGTTACTGTTTCTGGTGGGAATCAAAGACCACATGACCTGTCCAGGTGCCTAGTCCAGGGCAATAGGGCCTCTAGTTGATTTTGAGAGGCTTAGACATCTGGTGAAACTTCCGGCAGGCTGAAGGGACGGTTCCTATAGATACAGGCTGGCCTCATATTGGAGACAAACTTCTTCTGCCTCAACTTCCTGAGCATTAGGATTACAGGTATGAGTCACCACACCTGAGGATCATTCTTTTCTTTAAAGACTGGGCATGGCGATATATGCTTATAACCTCAGAATGTAGGAGGTAGAGGCAGGAGAATTAGGAATTCAAGGTCAACCACTACTACATAGTACATTTTAGGGAAACGTGACCTACACGAGACCCTGTCTTAATAAAAAGAAAGGAAAGGGGTCCATGAGAGGGCTCAGAGGACAAAGGTGCTTGCTGCCAAGCCTGATGTGAGTTTGATCCCTGGGTAGAAAAAGATGATTATTCCAAGGTGTCCTTTGAGCTCCACGTGCAAGCTGTGCATGGATGTGCACATGCACAAACACACAAAATAAGAATGTAATTAGAAAAAAAGGGAAGCAGGGAGGTGGTGGTGCACAGCTTTCATCCCAGCACTCAGGAGGCAGAGTCAGGTGGATCTCTGTGAGTTCAAGGCCAGCCTGGGCTATAGAGTGAGTTCTAGGACAGCCAGAGCTACACAGAGAAACCCTTTCTCCAAAAAAAAGATGAAGAAGATGAAGAAGAAGAGAGAGAGGGAAGTTGGCCAGATTGCTGAGTGGATAAAGCAGCCAAGCCTGATGACTTGAGTTTGATCCTTGGGATCTACATGGTGGAAGGAGAGGACCAGTTTCCACAGCTGTCTTTTGACCTACACACACACATACACACACACACACACACACACACACACACACACACACATACACACACACACTCACACACACACACATGCACACACACA